CCCCATAAAGATATTTTGAAAAGAAAATTTTTTTTTTATTTTTTATTTCTTGCCAGTCATGGTGGCTGAACTCTGGGCCTGGGCACTGTCCCTCAGCTCTTCAGCTCAAGGCTAGTGCTCTACCACTTGAGCCACAGCACCACTTCCAGCTTTTTCTGCTTATGTGGTGCTGAGGAATCAAACCCAGGGCCTCATGCTTACAAGCCAAGCACTCTACCACTGAGCCACCTTCCCAGCCGAAAAGAAAATATTGAAAGAACCCCTCAAAGTGCTGATTAAACCACTAGAATGCTGTGTAAGTCATCAGACATAGCAATAACAGCGGAGTCTCCAGGGTCCATTCAGAGCTGGTGTTGGTTCAGTAGCTCTGTCTGGGGCATGCAACTGTTTGAGAAGTGGAATGTCAGGAAGTGAAATCAAGTCCATCAGGCTCTGTAGGACTTATTCTCTGTGGAGATTCTATCACTGGGGATGACAGAACAGACACCAGCTCTATAAGAAATGCTCCTCATACTTAATTCCATCCAGAGTGGAGAGGACCATCTAGAAAACTTAATCTGCAGAAAATACATACCTATTTGAAGTGAGAACAGAAATTTCCCTCCCTAGAGAGATAATTTAAAAAATTATCTTTAAGTAGTTGTATAAAGGCATTTAAATTCAGGATATCAATTTATGAGTACAATGTATTCCGATCAATATCACCCCTTCCATTGTTCTCCCCAATTCTTCTCAACCTCACCCATTCCCTGACTGTAATTCACCCACCTTTCCTCCTGGAGAGATAATCGGGACCCTGAAGCATGAATTTGTTCACTGGCTGTCAGAGCTCCATCATCTTTGCCATCATTTAGTGTAAGAGGAATTGATCAGAATCCAGTGCTGTTTCTGCACTCAGGTGAATGGGAATGTTTCTGTTCATCTCATCTACAAACCATTCTTCAGATTTGCATAATGTAATTTTCTCCACATGAACTTGGGTAGAAGTTCAAATTATCCTTAATTTCAAACTCATTTTTTAAAGCATTACAGGTATCCTGTACATGTTTTAGAACACTAAGCCAAAACCTATGAACTTGGAATTCTGCACCATTGGGCTGGCACCCATGGGGAAAAAAGTGACAAGGTGCTTGCATTTTGAAAAAAGAAGTTGTGTTCACTGTGTACATTTCTTCCCCTCTGTGAAGGCCAATGAGCTTCTTAGTGTGGGAAATGTCACCTTGCAACTATATAATCAGATGTTTCTTTTAGGTTACATAGCTATTTGTTTCTTTGTGTTTTGCCTTGCCATTGGAGCCTAGTTTCTAGTTCTGATCTGCAGATTTCATAAAGATCTGGAGGAATGAAATTATTTCCAAATGAATGCTTCAGATATAATAGGAAATTAAAAATTAATTCCTTCAAGTAAAACAAAACACCCCCCAAGTAGCAATATCCTCTTTAACATGTATTTTACATTTTAACATATTAACAAACTTATGTAGCAAGAGTTTAAAATACAACTTTTTCTCATGATTTTAGCAGTAGTACTATATATTAAAAAAGATGGGAAGGGAAGGAAGGGAGTATGGCTGAAGAGGCTTGCTTGATTACTCTTGGGAGTACACAGATTCAGAAGGAGCTAGTCATCAGTGATTGACAGGCCTCTTGACTTACGACCTCTCCATGCAAAGAAAGCGAATTGTTTCCTGCACTTGCAGCATTATTACTTTAAAAATGTTTTGCAAGAATGTAAACTGATTTATTACACAATAGAACGTCTTATGAGTTACATCCATATTAATGTTTATAAGAAACTCCCAACTGGAGATGCTGGATGAAGCAGCAAATAGACACAATTAATCTAGTATTTTTTAACAGAGTTATACTTTGAGTTGTTTAGTGACAGGCCAGATTTTTGTCAGCTGCTACTATTGCTTTACAAACACACCGTGAAATGGCACTAGAAAATGATTGAAAATGTTGCACAGCTTTGATCTCTAAAAATTAAAATAAAAGGTCCTAAGTTAAGCAAAGAAAGGAAGACTAGACATAACTTAGCAACAATTTGAATAATGGCAGAAAAATAAGAGAGTTCAAAAATCACACCAGGTGGAAATATGGTTAAACATGTTTAGATGCAATTAACTTTGGGAGTGGGGTGTGGTGGTGGTCATGATAAATGTAACACAATTGTGTTTAGAATAACAAACATCTGTTTAGCATAGACAGATCTATACCTTGGTATCCAATGGTTTGTAATTATAACATTGATCTTGATTACAAGGTGTGGAGAGGGCAAAGGTGTTATTCTGATTGCTTTATAGGTAAAGGATAACTCTGCGACATGCAGACAAAAATGGAACTTTGGATGAACACTTACAGCTCTCAACTCTCCTTCAGTCAGCAACTGATAACTGATCTTCTTCCAGGCCATTGATGATTCTTTTGTTTATTCAACCAAATGTAATGAGGCAGTATTCAAGAGTATTTGAAAGCAATTTCATGAGAAAGTTGATTGTTCACACAAGCAGTATATAGAACTTTCACAATACCTTTAGCATTTTTTCCCCACGTGTGGTACTTTCCTGGTTTCATTTATTACACTTCAGTATAGTTGGAATTTATTTTGGTTCAGGGAGTAAGGTAGGGCTCCAAGGTTTTCTTTTTCCTTTCAAATTACTAACCGATTATCTCAAAAATCATGTATTAAGAATGCAATTGAAAACTATATTTGTGCCCAGAGCTTTAAAAATGAATATTAATGAAAACTTGGAAAAATTATAGCATGTCTTTCTGTTTACAGATGGTTTTATTCTACTTAAGATGGATTCAAGTCTTAATGAGGCCTCATAAGAAATAAATTCTGGAACTAGAAAGAGACACTCTTCTACTGACAAGAATTATAAATGGAGGAGCTGAATTGATGTGGTTAAGAGAAATGAACGGACTTGTACCAGAAATAGAGAAAGAACATGTCCACAGAGGAATTTTTTTTGGGGGGATCAGGTCGTGGGGCCTGAACTCTGGGCCTAGGCGCTGTCCCTCAGCTCTTTAGCTCAAGGCTAGTGCTCTAGCTCTTGAGCCACAGCACCACTTTTGGCTTTTTCTGCTTATGTGGTGATGAGGAATCGAACCCAGGGCCTCATGCATGCAAGGCAAGCGCTCTACCACTGAGCCACCTTCCCAGCCCAGAAGAATATTTCTACAGTCTTTCTTGGGCAGCTGCAAGCCGTGTGACCCTGCTATGTACAGAGAAGCAGTAAGCCTTTTGCTTGGATGGCCAAACAGCATCTTAACTGACAAAGCACATCTTCTGCCTATATTTTTCTGCCTTTACTTTCTTTTTTGGTCAGCATCAGCTGGAATTTAGGTCTTCAAGCTCTTGCTTGGCTTTTTCTGCTCATAGCTTGTGCTCTATCGTTTGAGTCATGCTTCCAATCTAGCTTCTTGTTGGTTATTTGGAAATAAGAATCTTGTGGATTTGCCTATACAGACTGGCTTCTACTGTGATTCTCAGATCTTAGCCTCCTAAATAACTAGGATTATGGTTGTGACCCTCTGGTTCTTGGATCTGCCTTCAACTTTTTATTTTACTTTTTTTTTTTTCTCTGTCAGTCGTAGGGCCTAAACTCTGGGCCTGGGCGCTGTCCCTCAGCTCTTCAGCTCAAGGCTAGCGCTCTACCACTTAAGCCACAGCGCCACTTCCGGCTTTTTCTGCTTATGTGGTGCTGAGGAATCAAACCGTGGGCCTCATGCATGCAAGGCAAGCACTCTACCACCTCCCCAGCCCCTCTTTTCTTAATTTTGTAAGATACACATTGAAATTTTGACCGCATGCTCCCGTCTTCTCGCCATTTGTATAGCACTTTCCCTTCGGCCCTACCCCAACCCTTCAAGTACCTGTTTCTTGGTGTTTATTTTGTTGAACTTAGTCTTTCTAAGGAATTTCAGTATTTTGAATTCTCCCTTGAATCTATCACATTTCAGCCAGTCCACCAGTATATTTAAATTTTTAAATGGATTTACTAATTTGTTTATAAGCTAATGCTAGCTTCCACATAGGATGGAAAACATGCAACCTTTGTCTCGGGGTTTCTCCAGGTCTTTCCATTTCTTTACAAATAATATCATTCTTTTTAATGGATGAGTAAAATTCTATTACACACACACACACACACACACACACACACACACACACACACACATCTCATTTTCTTGATCCATTTGTCCATTGGGGCATCTGGGTTGTTTCCATACCTTGGTGATGGTGAATAGTGCAGCAATAAACATGGTTGGGCTGGTGCTTTTTTGTATCCTGGATTGTAATCTTTTGGATAAATGTCCAGGAGTGGGCATTGCTGGATCACAGGATAGCTCTATGTTTGGTTATTTGAGGAACCTCCATTCTGCTTTCCAGGGTGGTTGAACAAGTTCATCAACAGTGTATTAGGAATCTTATTCCCTTTTGGCCACATCTTACTAGCATCTGTTATGATTTGTTTTCTTGATAATGGTCAACTTCACCAACTGTGGTGAAGTGGAAAATCAGTGTTGCTTTGATTTGTGTTTCCTCTATGGCCAGAGGTGTTGAGCATTTCTTCACGTGTCTATTGGCCATTTAACACATGGAAATTGTTGATTTATTTGAAATTTATTACTATAAGTATAGAATACTTTGAATGTTGGAGAGATAAAGAAGAAATAATAATCTAGGTGGTTTAGTGGAGGCTATAAAATGATTTGAGAAATGTAAATCAATGTACAGCTATGCTGTGATCTATATGCTAAGTACTTGAACAATATGCATTTTATTTTCATAACAAATAAATAACCAGTAAAACAGCTGATTTTAGGAATTTATTATTATTTTTTTAAAAAAGCAACTTCCAGGGTTTGACATTGTACAGGTTCAGTCCCGTCTCCTACAGCATGGTGCAGTGATAACTGATTCGATTCTTTTTATAGCAATGACAAAGATGTACAAAAGATCCACAACAGAACTATCACAGAACAACAAGAAGAGTTAGAAGAGTTTAATGTTAAGTGTATTCAAAAATCATATTCTAATTCTTTTAAACTGGTTATCCAAGTATGATGATATGCAGAGCTCAGATAACTAGAAAAGGCAATTGCTAGAAAACTCCATCCCCACCTGGTGAGCATTAACAGGCTTTTTACTGCATCTATCTTTATATAGTTTGTGAACTAATTCAACCCATTCCACACAGCATTGACTTTTTAAAAAAATTGCATTCACACAGGGCTGAGAGTGTTGCCTACCATCTTATTATCTCTGTAGTTCTTTGTTGAGGCTCCCACCCCATCTGATAGTTTTTGCAATTTAGCAAATTAGCAATTTAGCAAATTTAGCATTTCAACATCATCTTTGACCATTTGAATGGCATCTACAGGGAAGTTACCTATAGCAAGTTATCCAAAACTATGAACTAATTCATCACCAACTCTGTCCTTAACCTCAGTAAGAGAGGTGTTTGTGTCCCACTGAAGAATAAACCAAGCTGCAGTTAAGAAACTTTGTGAAAAAGTTGCCAACAGAGGGGACCACAGTTCTTAGCAATTGTTATCAATGCTGTGCAAAAAAAGGGTCTCGTCATTTCCATAACTATTCATACATTTATAAAGGCAATACAGTCATGGGAAAAACCAACAAGCACAGCTTGGTAGAAAAACCTGCCATGAAATATCACTGGCTTTATAATAATTTACTACACCTGTTCTTTGTATTCACACTGGATAGGAAATGTTTCCACCTAACACATGGAATATGAATATATACAACAAAAAATTTGGCTTTCATTTTTTAAAAAAAACTTCATAAGGACAATAACATGAGGGTTAAATTTTTTTGGGTGCAGTTTCCTAATCATAATCACATCTCCCCTTTTCATTTACAGCAAAAGACATTGAACTGATAGATTTTCTTCTAAACCAGTTAAAGAATTGTCCTGCCTATAAGTCTACCATGAAAGTATTACCTTGTTCACACAGTGACTTCTCCTTCCTAAGGGATGGTATGATGGGCCAGTTTTAAGGACAAATCCTGTTAATCCTTTTCAAAATGATCCATGTCTGCAGTTCCCTATCTCATCAAAATATTTCAGCACAGCACCTTGGAAACTGCACAGGGATCTGATTGACGTGCTGTTGGGATATTGGATGTTGTGTTCTCATTGGATGCCCGCCAGCTTGTGGCACATGAATGTCGGCATCATTGTCTATTGAGTCATGTGGGGTGGGTGGACTGTTTTGTACTGCCAGCAGTCAAAACAGTTGCTGTGGGCCCGGTGAGCCTGAGAAACCCACTCTCTTAAGAAATGGTTTCCTGGGGATCAGCAATGTCACGGAGGAGAGCTGAGACTAAAGAAGAAGCCCTGTGTTCTGAAAGCAGACAGTGTGGCAGGGATGGATGAGGGGGAGGGAGGCTGCTTTCCTAAGTCTTGAAAACCATCTCTGACCTCAGCTTTCCGAGAAAGCTGGGGATTCTCTGGAAGGCAGCCATGAGAGAAGGGCAGGGCCTGAGGCACATTTGGAGAAGTGTCAAGCTTGGCAGTTGGCACTGCAGACCAGTGCCCATGGTCCCCAACTGAGGCACTTTTCTAGGGCTATTTTCCCTTGAATATATCTTTTATGCTGGTAGCCTTCCCCATCTCCTCCCTGACAATTCCTACTTGTTTTTGCCTTTTTTAAGGTAAGGATTGCAAATTGTGTTACTCTCTTTCTCTCAATTCTGACCAATGAAGAGTCAGTGTTTAGGGTGGTAATTTGAGAAAGATGGTTGGAAATAAAAACACTATTGATTTTAATGGGGAATAATGCTGTGATTGATTAGTAATGTCTGTCACAGACACAAAAATGGGTGTTTATGGAACATATGCCACATCTTAATATCTCTTTTCTAAGCAAGGGGAGGGAAGTAGGTTAGCTTGATGGGTTCTTGATGAATCTTTAAAAACCATATCCCCAAACATTAAGTTTGTATTAATTTTATATTCTGCTTTGTTCCAGAAAGGATTTAAGAATTTGAAGGTGGTTGAGACAGGAATTGTAGGGCTTGTGGAAAGTTGAGGGGGGAGACCATTTCAAACAAGGTGGTACATTGCCTTTGACCACTGCTTTTACCCCTAGGTGGTAAAGCTCAGTGTTTATAAAGTGATTGCAGGACTTACTGATGAAACAGACTCAGAGCCCCATGTATAGTGGGAGTTTCAAGCAGAACCTTTCTGTATGGCATGTCTTGTATACTTCCCCTTATTTAATAGATGATAATATTGGGGTGTATGTTGAAAAGCTAAGGGGAAATACATTTGTATCTACACATATGCCATTTTCAGGGTTAATCAGAGAACCTGGGGATAGTTTTCTTATGTCTGTACCATTGTCTCTTACCTTCACTTAAAAATCTATGGTGTGCAACTTTATTGAGAAAGAATACAATGATCCATAATGTGTGTTAGGTATTAAGGATGCTATTTTATGAAGATCAAGTTGTATTTGTCTCTGGAAAACAGCACCAATCACTTATCTCAAGTGATTTAAACCAACGTTAAATCTTGAGTTTTTTTTTCAAGGATAATCATGAACAGATTGCTTTGGACAATCCCATGGTCTGTTGGACTTAGGGGAGGATGTGTGACCAAAGCCAGCCACCTCTAGCAGCTGATGGTCTCTGGGCTTTAGAAATTGTCTGATGCTTTCATGAATACTTCCCTGTCAAAGCAATTGACTGATTTCACTTACACATCAACATGGCAACATACCTTTCCCATCAGTAAACTCCCGCTCCCTTCCGCCTTAGAAATGGAGAGACTTTTAAAAGCCAACGAGGCATTTTTTAAAATCTATCTGACAATCCAAGGAGAACATCCTTTTGGATACCTGTTTGAAACTGAGTTTCTTGCCACCCTGTGGACTCTCAAGCTTTTCCAAAATCATCAGTAAAGATTTCCACCTTCCAGGGTGAGGGTTCTTTTTGTTTCCCAGCCACAGGTCCACGTCAAGTCACTGTGTTGGAGTGGAGGGAAGATGGCATCCATAAAACTGGCAATGTCATTTCTTACCTGACTCTGCTTTCCACTCATAGAGAACTGATTTTCTTCCTGGTCTTCACGAGACACAAGCCCATTGGGAACATCTTGGCAGTTTTGCTGTGTCTGGAACCTTCCAGAGACGATGGGCTATAAATGTGACTGTAGTTGCCTCAAAAATTTGTCCTCAGGCAAGTCAAACTTTCCCTTTCTTTCGGCTGATCACAATCATCAGTATTTTGGTACTGCCAACCAATTCTTAAAGTATGTGAACATCAGTGGGCTTAATCACCACTCGCCCCTCTAGCTGGAAAGACTTGTTCTAATGGTGCAAAGGGGCCTCCTTCCCAAAGTTTCTGAGACAGCCCAGAACACAGACTTTTGAGTTCTAGACAGAAGGCCTTGGAGGAGGCCGGGAGGGGGGTGGTGCCCTGTTAGGAGGTGGAGCCTGAGGAGGAGGGGGAAGGGTGGACGGAGGGGAGGGGATTAGAGGGGTGGGAGCACTGGGGGGTGGGGGAGGGCAGTGGGGGGCAGGAGGTGGGGGGGTGTAGATGGGAGCAGGGGGTGGGGAGGTGGTATGGTAGGCATTGTTGAGGGGGTACTTGGCTGGTTGATTGTTCTTGACTCTGGTGAAGTTGATACAGCGTCCCTAGAAGAAAATCAGAGAAAGAAACATGAGCTTGTGAGTGGCAGGTGGGAGGGTGGCGGGCAGTAGACCTGATGTTGGGGGCTGGTACTCCTCTGGTACATGCAGCATCTGGTATCAGCTTTGCGTGTCGTCCCCCTTTGATCACGGGGTTGGACAGCGTGCTATGGAGGCAGCTCTCTCTACTAATGTGAAGAAAACTGAAATCAATACATTTCTCTCTCCATGACCATGACTTCCCCAAAGCTCTGTCACAAACTATCTTGTTCTCCATCTGGTTGTGGGAGAATCTTCTAGATGCTCTGCATGTGTTCAGGGACACTTACACTCTTAGGAAATGCAACTGAGGAACATTTTCACTGCCAAACACGCATCGATACTGAATTCTGCTTTTTCTGAGCCACTTTCTGGTGAGTTAACAAGACAACAACGGGAACTTCCCAGAGCCCTCGCAGCGGCCTCTTGAATTTCTTTTTTTTTTTTTTTATTGTAAAGATACTATACAGAGGGTTACAGTTACATGAGTGAGGTAATGAGTACACTTCCTATTGAACATTGTTACCCCCTCCATTGTTTTCCCCCTACCATCACTTCCCTCCCTACCTTCCCTGAGGTTTTTTTTTTTATTGTGATTAAGTGATTACATAATTTCCGGAATTTCACAGTATTGTGGAATAATGATGCTCATTTAAAGTCACAAGTTCATTCTAACTTTCCTGGAGCAAATTGTCTATCACAGTCTGTAATATATAACGGTGTTCACATGTTATATACCATACATGTGATCAGCAGCATGGGGATATTTAGTAGTGGTTTGACCAGATGAGTGGGAGTTCTTTGTTTCTTAAGTCCTGTTAGTTTTGTCGTATCACCTAACATTTTGGATTTAGCATCCACTTATCAGGGAGACCATGTACCGTTTGTCTCTTCATTCTTGGTTTACCTCGCTCAACATGATTCCTTCTAGCTCCATCCATTTCCCTGCAAATGCCATTATTTTGTCATTTCTAATGGCTGCATAATATTCCATTGTGTATAGATACCACAATTTTTGGATCCATTCATCTGTGGTGGGGCATCTGGGTTGTTTCCATATCCTAGCTATTGTGAACAGTGCTGCAGTAAACATGGAGGTGCACGTGTCCTTGTATATTGGTTCCTGTTGTTCAGGATAGATGCCTAGAAGTGGCATCTAAGGACCCTCCAGACTGCTTTCCAAAGTGGTTGTATAAGTGTACATTCCCACCAGCAGTGTAATAGGGTTCCTCTTTCTCCACATCCCTTCCAGCATTTGTCGTTGGCTGATTTGTGGATGTGGGACATTCTGACTGGGGTAAGGTGGTATCTCAGGGTTGTCTTTATTTGCATTTCCTTCACCACCAGGGATGATGAACATTTCCTCATGTGTTTCTTTGCCATTTTTATTTCTTCATTTGAGAAGTCCCTCTTTAGTTCCCTTGCCCATTTAGTAATTGGTTTGTTAGGTTTGGGAGGGATTAGTTTCTTGAGTTCCCTGTATATACAGGATGTTAACCCCTTGTCTGATATATTGCTGGTAAATATTTTTTCCCAATTAGTTGGTTGTCTTTCTAGTTTGGTTGCGATAGATTTAGCTGTGCGAAGCTTTTTATTTTAAGGTAGTCCCATTTGTCGAGTCTCTCTCCAACTTGTTGTGACCCTGGGACTCTGTTCAGGAGTTCCTTCCTGTGCCTATTAGTTCAAGTGTCTCTCCTACTCTGTCCTGCAGTAGTTTGAGAGATTCAGGTTTAATGTTAAGGTCTTTAATCCATTTTGAGTTGATGTTGGTGCATGGTGATAGGCTGGGGTCCACTTTTAGTTTTCTGCATGTGGCTGCCCAGTTTTCCCAGCACCAGCGGTTGAAGAGGCTGTGCTTCTTCCATTGTATGTCTTTGGCTCCTTTGTCGAATATCAGCTGGCTGTTGCCTCTTGAATTTCTGGAGACCTGGAACTTCTGCCCTTCCTCAGCAGGAACTCGAGTCTTCCATCCCATGCTCAATCCCGGGGATGGGATCTCCTCTTCTTAGGCTCTCCTTGTGAGATATGTACCTCCTTCACTCTCCCCATTAGACTTTTCCTCTCTTGCTGGTCAGGGTATGGCTACCCTGTGTGCTCCTAGCCTTTCTTGCCTTTGAGCTCATCTCCACTGTGTGACTGGATGCCTAAAGAATCTCTTCCCACAGAGGACAGGGAGGACCACACCTTTGAGCTTACCCTTCCTCGTCCTCCTTCTGTTCATTTTAACTCCACAGACACAATGCTGAGCTACCTGGGGCCTGGCCTCACCCTCCTCAAGGACAGTCATCCTGTGCTGGGGGTCCAGACAGAGTTGGATACATGCAGAACACCCCAAGTTGTCCTAATAGGCCTTTGGCAAGGACTCAGAAGGGGACAAAGGGCACAAGGCTGTGGAATCCAAGGAACTGATTTGCTCTAGGACAAGAGGGAAATGTGGGCATGTGATGACACAAGCCAGGGACATGTTTTACTTCACTCACGGACTCAGAAAAGCCAAATCCTTCCCCATGGCCACCATCACTCCTCCCCTCCCCCCACTCTTTCCTCAAGTCCTACACCCTTGTCCCTTGCCCTCCACACACTTTTCCCTCATGACCGTGGCCTCTTGCGCTTTGCTTCCTGGACTTCTTTTGTCCACGGTGTGCAGCCTGCACACTGTAGTTGTTTCATTTGCAAATGCCCTTGCCCCCCCCCCCCCCCCCCCCAGTCAGATGAGAAACTTCCAGAAGTTAGCAGCCTTTGCTGTTTCACCAGCCAGAGCCTCTTGTGTTACACTACACAGTAGGGCGATTCTTGGTCAGGTGGAGTTCTGTGAGGACATTTGAGGAAAGTAGGAGCACGGGTAATGTGAGCAATGAGCTGAAAATTCCTTTATACACCATCACAGTAGGAAGAGAATGCTTCGGCAAGGTAAGGCCACACCTGACTGGACTGCAGTTGACTTATAGAAATGTCAGTGTCTTGTGTGTGGGTGCCAACGCTCCAGTTCCTCTGAGTTTGCATTGCAAACTTATCTGCTAGGTTCTAAGTGGGAGTCCACTCCCTGCAGAAATAAATGACTGTCTTCTCTCATGCCTCACCCCGAGCTCCCAGTTCACACTGATTTTGTAACCCAGTAGTGTAAATTCCCCACTGTCCAACAGCTTTCTTTTATGGCTATATAAATCTAAGCCTTGGTTACAGTTTATTTATGATGCTAGATAAAGCGTTTTCCTTCAAGATGTTCTAGTCTGATGATTACCATCTGTGATAAATTCCTGTCATGACAACTCAGAGTCGGGATTTACTGTACTACCTAGTCTGGGCTTTGTTCCTGGACATCTAACATGTACCGGGAGGCTCAAGAGCTTCATTTCCTTTAAAGATGAAGGGAAATTCCAAGCGTAGCCTAAGAGTTGCTGGTACCCTGGGCTAGTCCCCCATCTGGCTGCAGATCTGCAGAGCTGGTTACTAGGTTGTGGCAAACAAGGATGCTAATTAGTCTGAAAGTCCATTTGCTTGTTCCATGCAACAGTGGCTCTACTATTTTTTGGGGGGGGGGTCCGGTCATGGGGCCTGAACTCTGGGCCTGGGCGCTGTCCTTCAGCTCTTTAGCTCAAGGCTAGCGCTCTACCACTTGAGCCACAGTGCTACTTCCTGCTTTTTTCTTTTTGCTTATGTGGTGCTGAGGAATTGAACCCAGGGCCTCAGGCATGCAAGGCAAGCGCTCTACCACTGAGCCACCTTCCCAGCACTACTATTTTTTTTTTTTTTAACCAGAGCGAAACAGGAAGCAGCTCTTAGCCTTCATCTACCAATACTTCTACTCATCATCCATATCAAGGGTCTCAAACAGTTTCTAAAATGTCTGAAAGGAGCCACAGAATAGAGATAATGTCTAATAGCTGCCGGCTGATGACGGCAAAGAGTCCCTTTCCTATGGTCAGTAAATGTGCAGCCACAGGTTTCCTGCACCCAAGTAGTGGACTGTGGTGTATTATAGACTCCAGTATATTATCGCTCTATGAATACCTAGCAGGGAGGGACAAGATCACAGCTTAGGCCTTACTCCCTTGGTGGGGCATCCCACAGTGTGACCTGGGAGGGGAAACTACACCACCTGCTGTTTACAGGCATTATGAGGGTTCTGTCATGACACAATGGCTGCTGAGGAAGGGTCTGGAACAGTATCTGATGGGTGGGTGGAGTTGGTAAATGCAGTCGATTTATTTTTAACCTGGAAAATACTTCCTTTTATTTCATCTGAACTTGCATCATGGGTTAAGTGCACAAAGAAATCACTGGCTTTGGTGATATGTCAAGAGATCACCCAAAGATTGAGATAGGCCATGCAAGTTTGATGTCTCTGTGTAGCTGGAGTCAGAGGCTTAGACATGGTAATGGCTTGTTTCAGGTAGACAGACAGTTGGAAATAGTATGAGGTGTTTGGATTCTTATTTTAATGCTTGCTGCAGGCTAGAGCATCTGCACTTCACACCTGCCTTCTATAATAAAATCCATAAGTAGGAAAAAATATTGCATGGGATGTGACTGAAGCAGCCCTTGAATCTGTTTTCTTGTATTTCCTCTTCTCAGCCTTCTCTTGCTACATTAACTCCTGTCACATATTTTTTACACGTTCTCCCATAGTACTTTGCACGCACAGCTGATTGGTGATACATTTACTGTATCTTCGAGGAAAGGTGCAGACTCAGCATAAATGCCCCCCCCCAAAAAAAAAAAAAAAGAAAGAAAGAAAGAAAGAAAAAACAGGGCAATTTACAGTAAAACACACGGTCCTCCTAGGAGGAGTGTGGCTCAAAATTAAGTTCTTAAAGCCTGGAGCCAGAGGCACCAGCCCAAGCACTGTAACACTTAGACCATATAACTGGCCTAAAGATCAGTTTACACGACATCAGTTTTTGCTTGCAAGAGGATAATAGCAAGGCCAGATGTTCTTAGTGTCATGTATGCCAGCAAATGTGTTT